CTGACTGTTATAGTGGAGGACAACGGGCAGCCTTCTCGTTCAGCTACGGTCATTCTTAACGTGGCGGTGGCAGACAGCTTCCCTGAAGTGATGTCTGAATTCACAGAATTTCCACATGCTAAAGAATATGACGAAAACCTGACTTTTTACTTAGTGTTGGCTCTGGCTGTAGTTTCCTTTCTCTTCATTACGTGTTTGGTGGTTATTATATCAGTGAAGATCTACAGATGGAGACAGTCTCGCATGCTATACCACTCAAACCTCCCTGTGATCCCTTATTATCCACCGCGGTACTCGGACACTTTGGGAACAGGAACCTTGCCACATGTTTACAATTATGAGGTGTGCAGGACAAATGACACCAGAAAAAGTGATAATATATTCAGAGGAACTGATAGCCAGAATGTGTTGATAATGGACCCCAGTACTACAAGGACAATGCAGCGGATTCAAAGTGAGAAGAGCATCCTGGATGAACCTGATTCGCCTTTAGAGGTTGGCATATTTTACATCTTTCTATACACTATGTTACCTTTGAACACATGTGTACTGAACAAATGAACCTACATTTTAATCTCAAATTCTTATTTCAAAGTTAAGAATTCTCCCCCTGGAAGTTACTATAAATGCTTTTTTGTTTTACTACATTTGTAAATGGATATTTGCAGTGTGCACTTATTGATTACCACTGTTCCCCATCTAATTATTCTTTGTTAGATTATACTTTTCTTATGTGTGTTGGGGAAGCAAAAACAATTCTCTCTGGACTTTCTTTTTTGTTTGTTAGAAATATGATTGCCTTGAGGTGAAAATGTACATGTTCTTAAAATATTAAGATTTTTTCTGAATTTGCCACTAGTGGCTAACTAGCTAAGTGGTCAACTAGCTAGCCATCTTGCCTTGCCAATAAAAGACACAATTTTGATATGTTACACAACACAGGCACTGTGAATTAGATATGCATTGTGCACAAACCTTTTATTGATGTCTTGCCATGCAGACGCTCAGTCAGGTGCCCCAAATGAGTGAGCTAATGGTGTGTAGAGCATGCAGCTTGGCACAGTCATGGGCGTGGTTTGTTACTTGGTGGAGCATGTCTTTCCAGGTGATGAGTTCAAAGCACACACAACCAGGTGCTGGGTCAACTGGTATATGTTGGGTTGATGGATTTGAAACACATTTTGGCACAGTCTATGGGTTGCACAAAAAATCATCGCAAGTCTCATAAAAACAACCCAACTACTTGAAAAAGGACTCATTATGGGAGAGAATTACTCATCCTTGCGTTTGGGTACAAAATATAAGCCAGTATTTACTTAGATTGAAGCTATAAAAGTTCATCCTACACAGAATTTAAAAAGATATTAGCGAAAGTTTTTGAGTTTTTCGTTTGAAGTGCAAATGATTTAATAATTTGAATGTCAGAACATGGGTTAATAAATGCTTATTGGAGCGCAAAGTTACGTGCCTATGTATTTTTTTTTCCTCATCTAGGCCTGTTCAGCTAAATAAGAACCCTATATAATGTTGTTCAACATGNATCAATGAACCAGGAAGCCCAGTTAAGACAGAGATCAATGAACCAGGAAGCCCAGTTAAGACAACGGCAATCCTCTATTCTCCAACCCCAGCTCTGTAGCATTTGCCTCAGTAGCTCTCTAAATGCAATATGCATCTAATTACCAGATAAAATAACGCATAGAGCATTAAAATAAAATATATCACACTCATCAGAGATGCTGATAATTTACAGACAAAATAAATCCCTCTGTTTTTGTGCGGGAAGTCTTAGTATCTCCATTTCGTATCAGCCATTGAGGCCAGAAAATATTTTAACAAAAGCTGACCTAAAATGCAGATTGTATTTTGGGTGTATACGTTTTGCTCTAACCGACCAATCAGTACACAGACATTTGTGACGTAGAGGTGGACCCTCTATCTGGCCCAGGTGGTTAATCTGGAATCTGATTGGTTGAAGAAAACGTTCCTCACGAATATTGTTAAGGTGGGTTCAGACAGCAATGCTGATTCTGAAGGCTCTGTGCAGATTTAATTGACATAGCAACAAACACAGGCTGAAATATGATTGGACAAAAACTGTAGCAATCACGTAAATGTAATGGAAGCGCATATTGATTTATTTTTTTCAGGAACCAAAGTTTATATTTACACTTATGTATTTTATTCCATTAATTTTCAACTTCCAAAATTGGAAAGCTTTTTGACTAAAAATAACTAGGAATACAAGTATGATTTTTTTTTTTTCTTTTTTTTGAGCATATAGGAGCTGGGGAGCAAGTTTCTACGGCAGAGGAGAGTTGTTCCTCTTTTTACTTTGTAGATTTATTCTTAGTTAAAGCTACTAAAAAATTGGAATTGCCTCTGTTTTTATACATTCATAAAAGGATAACAGATTATTCCATTTGATTATTTAACTTTTTTTTCTCAAAACGAAATACTGATATCTGCGATTTTTCATTTTAAACACAGAGGGCCGCTGTTGACCATAGTGTTTCATAAGCTACACACTTATAGCAGGATCTCCTCTCACACGTTCACATTATGAAAAAAGAACACGACGGGGAAGGACCGACATGTACAATAGTGCTGAAATTATTTTCGACCTGAGGAAAACGATGCTTTTGTTTGGATTATGCCTGGTTTGAAATGAAAATTCTGCCCGGAAGTGATTTTAAAGGCTTGATTTAATCATCGAGGTTTTATGAGGAACAATACTGGGACAGAACAATGACGAGGCAAGTAACGGCGTTGATCTTCATCCTCTACATCGGCACGGTGCTCGGGCAGCTTTCTTACACTATTCCGGAGGAAATGACCAAAGGATCCATAATAGGAAATATAGCTCTTGATTTAGGGTTACAAGATAAACGTTTAACGTTTGGAAATGCGCGGATCTTTACCAGAGACAGTAACGACTACGTCGAGCTGAACACAGAAAAGGGAGTTCTTATTGTTAAGGAGAGAATTGACAGAGAGAGCCTCTGCAAAAAAAAGACACCTTGCGCGTTACATTTTCAGATTATTTTAGAAAATCCCATCGAATTCTACAGTGTTGTTATCCAGATTGCGGATATTAATGATAATGCGCCATCTTTTGAGACAAGTGAAACGAAATTCAAGATTAGTGAATCTGCAGTGATTGGAGCAAAATTTGTCTTGGAAAGAGCTTTAGATCTCGATGTTGGAGTTAATGATATAAAAAGCTATACTTTAAAGCCAACAGATAATTTTGTATTGAAACTACACACTAATGCTGATGGAAATAACATTGAGATGGTGTTACAGAAGCCTTTAGACAGGGAAAAAGAGCCAAAGATAAACCTGGTGTTAACTGCTACAGATGGAGGAGAACCACAGATGTCAGGAACGATGCTGATTATTATTACAGTTTTGGATGCTAATGATAATGCCCCAGTTTTTACACAACAGACATACAGAGCTACTGTCATTGAAAATTCACCTAAAGGAACGGTTGTGGCTACTGTCAAAGCGTCAGATGCAGATGAAGGTTTTAACAGTAAAATTACATATACAATTACAAACCCTTTCGATGAGGTCAGAAATATATTTGAAATAAACGAGGGTAATGGTGAAATTGTTCTAATAGGAAATACAGATTTTGAAGTCTCA